TGATATAATGTATAATGTTTTCTAAGCTCTTGTTGGCATGAGATTTAGGATGTAGAATTATGATATTATCTCTCATGCACAGTATCGCATGCTAACACATACACATACATGCATGAACATCCACATATATGTATATGCATGCTATTCATTTTACATATCTCTACAAGTTATTCTTAGCTTACTAGTGCAATATTCCCTAGGTACTTAATTTATGTTGGACCATGCAGTAACATGTCATGTGGGTGCCTGACACCTTGAACTTGAACTTGAAAGACATGGTTCAGGTGATGTGTCTTTTTATGTGATATCTGGCATTATGGCATAGTTTGAGCTTATAATTTATAAAGACCACAACGGATGCCCATTTGAAAAGAATGAAAACTTCATTGGGTTGGGATGCAGAGTTTGGCATCTTTCGCTCTGTGTGTGTGATCAGACTCAGCTTTTACACTAATATTTATGTAATTAGCCCAAATCGTAGTCAATTTGGCAACTTAAGTTCAGCCTAATTGGGTTAATATGAACTCTGTTAGTAGTATTGAGTTTAGTTCTCCAATCTGTAAACAGGTAGAATGTTGATGTGATGACCGTTTTAGGCATCATGGGTTGCTTTTTTGTGTTTTTATTTTATTTTGGTAGTCATAGATAATGTAGGTTTCATTATCTTCCAGATCGAATTCAGGATGCATACTGGCACATCAGGAAATTTTTGAAAATGGAGGATGCTAGAAAGGTGCCCGGAAAGGCTTCTAAGTTGGAGGGTGCAAATGGTTCAGAGCGCAGTATCAAAGGTTCATTAAAGGAAGAGATGAAGGAGATCCCAATGAATTGTTGTGCTGAGGAGAAAAATCTACTTGATATAGTATCTTTCCAAAAAGAAGATTTTGTTAATACTCGTGATCCACCAAAGAAGCATTATGATACCATTATTTGGTAAGCTCCTCCTTGTTCTTGGTTATTCTAATATAATATGTTTGTTTCAGTCCTATTAGGAAAAGCATGTGGAAACTTGCTATGATGTGTGCAGGCTTTCAACTATTATATAAGATAAAAAGTTGAATTATATTCCTTAAATTTGACCATAACCTTTCTCATAATTTTTTTTTACTAGAACTTTTCAGTAACTGAACGAGATTACGGAACGAGAACAACATAAATTATAGATTGCTAATCAGATCGCTGTCAGAGACAAACAGCTCCAAATTATCTAAGTCATCGGAATACCATTGAGTTTTGAAATTTCAGATTTTTTTTCCTTTTCCTAAGTCTAAGAAGCTGTAACCAAGTATGTCTATCCATAACCACCAAATAGTAAGACGCTAAGAACAAGAACCTATTGTGAGACAATTGGTGGAATCCCCACTGGCCGTACAAATATTTAGGAAAAGCCATTATTGTTACCCTGGTTTTTTTAAGTCTGCCTGTAATAATTGAACTCTAGTGAAAGTGACTTGCTTTCCCCTATCTTATAGATTGAAGTTGTAGTGGGTTTCTATTAATATATTTTGGGAGAAAAATTGCGTCATGGTGCTTGCCTTTTCATATGCAATTTACAAGCTCTCATTTGCTTGTTCAATTTTACTTAGCCTTACTGTGTTGCTTGCTTGTAATATTTATTTCTCTCCTGAAATACAGTTTGAGTGTAACAAAATGGATTCATTTGAATTGGGGTGATGATGGATTGATTACATTATTTACAAAGGTTTGGAGGCTACTTCATCCGGTAATTGTTATAACTGTTGCTCTACCATTCATTTCCACCCGTTCTTCTTTTCTTGTCTGCTATCAACTAACCATGGAATTTTAGTTCAAGTAATCTTCATTTATAGCATTCCCTTGTTACAAGATGGCCTTGGGCAAAAAGTTTGAGGAATTCTTCTTCTTGTGAGCAGGGTGGAATTTTTGTGTTGGAACCTCAACCTTGGAAGTCATATGAAAATAATTACAAAGTTTCTGAGGTAACCTTTTTCTTTGCAGCTCTGAGTTCACAGCTATTTAATCACTACTAAATCAGTTAATAAGTCAGAAAGTTTTTCGATTAAGTACTATATGACTTGAAATTTCGTTGCTTTACTAAAATTAGGCCTAAAGAATATTTTGTCCCATTGTGCAGACAACCAGAACCAATTATAAAAATCTTAAGTTCCATCCGGAATATTTTCAAGACTTACTTCTGGACAAGGTATGTTACAATCTTCTTATAGTTCAAATTCAGGATGAAGTGGCAATAATTTTTAGGGCATTTTCCCTAACTATTTGGTTGAGATCCTGGTATACCTGACATTTAACATACGATTACAGATTGGATTTAAAACAGTGGAGAATGTCACTTCCAGCGTCTCGGGCAGCAAAACTGGATTCAACAGACCAATTTTAGTGTTCCGCAAATGACTTAACCTAGTAATGCAGTACGAGGAGCAGGGTTGAGTGTTGATCCGAAAAGGAGGCTTAACTCAGACAATGTTAGCTGCATAGGTGCGCACTTTTGGTGGGAACCTTGACAATGTAGCCGCAGATGTGCGTCTCTTACATTGGAAAGAATCAATGGGAAACTTGACACCATGTGTCAATTTTGTTAAGTGTTGTAAGAATCATACAGGCAAAGGAATGGAATACGTCCTGTCCCAATCTTGTAGTTGCTTCTAATACTGTACATATATACATTATGATGCAATGCAATAGTGGTTACTAAATTTTGAAGGGTAAGTTAATTTCCCTACTCTATATACAATTCTGCATTGATCTCTGCCTTCCGACCGGCGACCAATATGATTAAGGAAAACAAGGTTTTTAGTTTACTGCTTAATATTGAAGTTTAAGATGTAATGTTTGACCTTGGTCAACAGAAGAAAAGGTATCCCTATGCATGAACTGTAAAGAAAACGTAACCCACATTAGGTGAATAAATGCTATGCCAGTGGGTATTTGCTCGTATTTATTTCCCATTTATCATAATTATTCCATTAACCGTTTCTTTTCACCGCCTACTAGTTAAGTCACTGTCTTTCTTTGACCTCGTGTTGTAACGTTTTGAGATAGTACTGTGGCTTGCTTTCTAAGAAAGTACCAAAATGACTAGATGAATTGTTTATAAAAACCAATCTCTTCTTTTATCCATCCCCATGTTTCAACTTTGGCCACATGAACCATATGGCTGTTCACGGGGCTGAAAGAAGCAACACTCTCATGCAGTCATTGTCTGTAGACCTTGACATCATGTCTGATGCCGAAGACGAAGACAATGCGCTGGAGGAAGAGGAAGAGGAAGAGGAAGAGCAATGTGTCGATGATTTATTCAATGATGAAGGGGTGAGAAAGAAGCTTGAGCTACTGGCTCAAATGGTTGGAGTCGACAGTTCAGAATCAGAAGCTGGGGTTCTGCTTGCAGCAGTTGTAAGGGTTATCAAGGATTTGAAAGTCACTATTCTTCAGTCTTGGGTGCACTGAAACTGATCATAGTTGTGATCATTTTCTTTTAGATTCTAGAATTTAGTTGCTCTCTTGTGGATTAAAATTAAATTAACCACATCTTTTTTCAAGATTTCTCAACTTTTACTCTTCTCTGTTTGTCTTATTGTGGTTGCTGGCTAAATAGACAATGTCGTTTTCACCCCTCTAATACTGAAACAGCTTCTCCATCAGCAAAGAGCTGGAGCATCCACAACCGACCCGAAATCATCCTACAGACTCATTCTATTCTATTGACAACCTCACAGTTGCGTTCACGGCGGTCTACGACTTGCAGTCAACATTTCGAGAAATTGATGCCCTCCAGACCCTCCACAAGCTGCCTCAACGTCGTCGTTTTGTGCTAATACTTTCGGCATGAGTATGAGTGTTTTTTTCACAATTGACTCTGGCATAACTACTAGCAAAATAATAATAAAATATTAAGAGTTTGATAACGGATTTTTCTTTTTCTTTTTCTTTCCTTACTGATATTGAAAGGAAAAAAAAAGAGTTTGATTATACAGCTAGCAATAAAGAGAGGCGAAACAAAACAATATGGGACAACACTAATACATTTACCAGAAGACCCATCACAAACGACTAAACTACATTGCATTGCATATGTTGAATGTTCCTCAATTTAAAAGCTGTAGGAGATATCTATATATATATATATATATGATGGATGAGATACTTAAGCAACTGCACGGGCATGGCACCACCGTCAGCATATACGTAATCTCCTTGATCAATGGATTCCCCTGGCAGATAACAAATAACAATTAGACGGCGTTGGTATAGATGGCATTGATCAAAGATGTTTACTAAAACCAAAATCTTGGGTAATCCTGGACAGTCAAAGAACATGTATAAGTTAGTAATGTCCCCAGGGCTTCGGCTCCTGGATGGCCACAACAGTACCTCAAAGTTCTGGAGCGAGAACACCGGCCTTGTTCCCCTTGAGCGCATGCTACTTGGAATGTAGTAATAGCAAGCTAGCAGAGCCACTCATGACTGATTTCCAAGGGAAATGAGTTCATGAGATTCCTTTGGCCAAGAAAGAACCAATAATGCAAATATATACATATTTTCTAATGACATCAATTAAATAAGGACTTGTTCCTCAGATGTTAGATCAAATATGTTCAATTAAAATGCATAGTGGGTGAAATGAACAATTAAGATAGAAACCTTTATGTGTGTGTGTGTGTGTGTGTGTGTGAGAGAGAGAGAGAGAGATGCAAACCTGATTATAGACATCTGAGAGAGGAATAGGTATTGGAGTAATTTGGTAAAGTAGCCTTCATAACTGCCAATAGCACCTCAGTATATCATAAGTGCCTCTCACCTGTTTTCTGTGTTTTTCAACTTCTCAGATAAGTTTTTAAAATGTAGCTGAAAACATGTGAAAGTGTCAGAAACAAATTTTCAGTTCCTTTATCTTAGTTTTCAACAGTTTATAATAAGTTCAAAACTAAAGATAGAAGCTTTTCCAAACATGACCTCTGACCACTTGTCCATTCTGACTTTTTGACACAACAGAAAAACAGTTTTCTCAAAGCCAATCAGGCCATGATGCTTCTTCATTCAAAATATATATATTTAATGTCACAACAGCCACTTTTAGGAATATTAAAATAGAGAAACACTGTCAACAACAATCAAACTGCAGAGAGACAACTTATTATCTAATAACAAGAACGGGGAAAAAAATAGTATACACATCATTCATGTTACAAGAAAAACTTAAATACAAGATTGCCGGGACACTTATGAGATCTATGTACAGCACAGAATCCAAGCTTTGGGTATTCCATATTTCGTAACCAACACATTTTTAGTCGCATTAAGGAAAAAAAAACATAACAAGCTTGCACCAACGAAGGAACTAACTCAATGTCTCCAAAGACGCATCACCAAGATCTTCATGAATAGATTGCAAATTTGACCATTAAATTGCAGCTTCAAAGATGTGCTAGAATCTTCTGGAGAAAATCTGTTGTTAAAACACAGTGGACCGCACCCAGTCAACAATAATGCTAATATGTCAGGCGAATAGATTAGCTGCAATTAAGAAAGCAGCCACCCAAATAATGACTCAAGTATGGATCCAATGAATTACCATATAGGTCACTTGGCTGAAGAGATGCGCTGCAGTGACTGAATCCAACTACTCGAAGGACCTACTTTATTGCCATGTCCATGACCAGTGTTTGCAGCTTCAGTGGGCAAAATAGGCTTTGTGGAATTCCTTCTTGAGGTGCCAGAAAATGAAGTAGACGGCAGGTATGCTTCATTTGCAATCTATAAAAGGAATTTTTATCCAAGGGTAATGAAAATCTAAAAAGAGTCACAGGAAGGAATATTAATTATTTACTTGTTCAACAGTAATATGACTTACATTCTTTTCAAGAGGATTATCATAATTCAAATTCCTGCCTGTTGATGGTTTAAATTGCATCCGAACACCAGGACCAGTGGCATTGTTTGATCTAATTCGTTCTGTGACCTCAGCTGGATACGAAGCACTAGCACCTCCTGCCACTTATAATTACAAAGAAAAATGTGATTTCTGTAAATCAACTTATATTTGTTAATACATCAAATCCCTATCTCTCATAAAGTGTAACTAGACCTACATGATGACATATAAAGTTGAACGCTAATAATAAAATTGTGACAAAAATAGGGGCTGCTGTCAAACTCAAATCAGAGAAGTAAGTTATCTGAGATATGCAAAAATCCATCAGCAAGATCTAACCTTGATGATTATCTACACGCACTGGCATCGCATGACTGTTGCTTCGTCCAGGAACTGGCTGTAACATGCAGATTTTCAAATTAGAAGTGCAGCGGTAACCCAATCCTGAAATACTTTACAACTAAAAATATCTAAAAAGACCGAACAGCAATGAAACTTACGGATAATTGAGACTGAGTTCTATTGTTCTGTGACTGCTGGTACTTTATGATGGTCCAATCAAATATGTAATCAAATTCATATCCTGCCATTTGGAAAAAAAAATATCCACAGAACATAAAATTCATATCAAAATATAGCTCTAAAATTTTCAGTTAAGCATATGAAATACATACAATTCATATGGCATTCTTTTTCATATTGGACTTTCAGTTAAACGGGAGATCATACAAGATATGAAATCATACTGATTTAAAGCTAAGAGGGGCTATGCAATGTAAAAAACTTTAAAATAGATGAAAAAATATACTGAGTTTGAACAGCCCTACCTTCACGAGTAAACAAATCACGGAATAGGCGCTTCAAGAATCCATAATCAGGCCGCTGATCAAATGTCTGTGAGTGGCAGTAATGGAAATATGACGCAAACTCCACCGGGTGAGATTTGCATAGAACCTATGGAAAACAGCAGTCAGACCAGTTGACACCATATAGAACTTTCAAAGTGCACATAAGTAGTTGGCACACACCTCAATAGGGGTTGATAACTTCTTCTCACAAATTTTGTCATACTTTTGCTTTTTTGTGGCAGCTTTTAAACCCTGCCACGGAAGGCTATAAACAGAAAAGTAATCATTAGGGGAAAAGACAGAAGATGGCAGGAATAATTTATTATAAAAAAGGGTTGGAAACAGATTATGTACCTTCCTCTGAGAAAATACAGAAGAACATATCCAAGAGACTCCAAATCATCACGCCGGCTTTGCTCTAAGAACAAGACGCCAATAAGGTTAATGAGTATTTATTCCACCGAACTAATAAGGTTTAACATCATGCAGCTTACCAATTCCAAGATGAGTATTGCAGCTTGCATAACGTGCAGTTCCTGTTAAGTTTTTATTCTCCCTGTATGCGGTAAGGGTTAACAGGAAGAATATAAATCAATAAAAAATTAAAAGGTTGAATTTTAATATCTCAATTTTTCCTTAAGCTTTTCAGCAGAGAGGGGGAAAATGAGATTGCCATGAACTGGAAATACCTGTAAGGGATGTGACGATTGGTTGTGGAGTCTCGATATCTTTTTGCAAGACCAAAATCAATTATGTAAACCTGACAAGACAAATGCAAGAAGGAGACTGATGACGACGTAAAACCAAGAAATTAAAGGTGAAATACGTTCTTAAAGGAAAAAAGGCAAAGAAGATGCAGCACCTGATTTGCTTTTCGCCTAAGACCCATGAGGAAGTTATCAGGGTTTATGTCTCTATGCAGAAAACCTTTCGAGTGCACAAACTCTATCCTCGTAATCTTGCATAACAAGATTAAACGAAAGAAATAATTAGTCAATTGACACGATTGTACACATAAAAAGTGCAACATCCAATGACATGAAGAAGATAAACTATAAGAATGAAAATCATTTGCCCTTCAAAAAAAGAAAGTTGAAATGTTCTGAAAATGAAAAGGTAGAAAAACAAACTAACTATATGCGCATGCATGAGCTCCACTCCGTAAGCTCCATAATGGTTACCATTTGATCGGCCAACATTAAGACAGTCTTGAGTGAAAACTTTCTCCCACAATACACAAACAAATCCTCAAGACTTGGTCCCAGCAAATCGAGAACTAGCACATTGTCCTCGCCGTCTATGCCGGACCATTTAATGTTCGGAATTCCACCTTGTTAAATTAATCAACACGATTAACCCAATAATTACATAAAATTATACATAATTCAAATATATATATATATATATATATGAATGAAGCACATACTTCCCCCTTGAAGGATATTGTATAACTTGGCTTCGTAAAGCAGTTGGGGATGCTTTGTTTTACTGTTCTCCTGCACTCACCACAAATTCAAATCAAACTAATTAGTTAATTTCACTAGTAATTAAACTAAAAATATGCTTCTTTGGTAAGTAGGAGTTCACGAAGCTCGAAGAGAATCCGAAAGAGAACTTCAAATTTCTAACAATGGATTTGCATATGCATAATTAAACAGTAATATATACTTAATAAAACCGAAAAATTCAAAAATAAGAAAGAAAAAACAGAGAGAGAGATAATTAGGAGCTTACAATCTTAACGGCGACGATCTCGAAAGTCTCGGTGTGAGTAGCTGCAGAATGAATTTAACAATCACAGAGATCAGTCGCTGTTTCTATGATCAACGGTTCCGATTAAACCACAAACTCACCTAGGAAGATTTCACCGAACGATCCGCTGCCGATCTTGCGGCCGAGCTTGTACTTGCCGCCGACGATGCGCTCCATGCGGAATTCCACGGATCGGGTCTCTTAAATCATAGAACCGGAGCTAGAGTTTCCAATTTTCGATCCGAATTCGAAATCCGAGAAATTGAAAAGAAAAGGAAAATTCGAAAATGCTTTTTAACAAGTTGGAACTAAAAAACTGAAGCCACACACAGGCGCAGGCTGGGCAACAACAAGAGACAGATAGGACAGTCGTGGGGGATAAAGAGAGAAACTGGAGGGGTACTTTTGTAATTTTAAAATGGCGGAGAGCATTGACTTGTTGACCAAGGAGGGATTTGTGTCGTAATGGATAAAGAGATACGGGGATTGTTCGTTTTGTATGAGGATATTATTGTCAATTCGTCGATTTACCGCCAAATGAGTTACGGCAGAGGGGGCGGGTAGATCGGTTAGGTCAGGAACGTGAATCGCGCGTAGGTTTTGTTCCTGTACGGTAATTATAGACTGTTTTATTTTGTTTTCAAAACATTTGCTTATCTTGATCGTCCGCTGTTGGGAGTGTGCTTTTCCATGATTGTGATTCCAGGTGTACGGTGTACAATGGCTTGCAGCAAGGGATTCACCGGATAACTGGAAATGGTCGCTTGCAGGTGATTAATACTTTCGCGCCGTCGCCGTCTTGTTTTATTGACATCTAAATTTTTTTTTTTGGGTCAATGTATTGAAATCTAGATTTGCTCACGTCGAAATCGGCGGCACAATCAGCAATAATAGGTGTAGTGGCAGTGCTACCCTTGATAAGAGGCTATATTACGCTTAGGGGCTTTGAAGTGGACTGACTGCCACGAAAAAGAGAAAAGAAAAGCCTTTAGCAGACAGATATTCATATATTTCGACCAGAAAAAAAAGACTGATAATATATTTTTTTTTAAATGAAAAGAATTATCTAATCTTTTTTGTTTAATACTTCTAATTAGAAAATGATGACTGGTTGGGTGGGGATTTTTTCCATCCAAATAAGCTCTTTAAGAGTTTTTTTTATAAATTATGCAGTTGTAACGGCTATCTACATAGTTTTTGTATTTGTATACTTTTTCTTTAATATTTTTTATGGGAACCAAATTCCTACACTAAATTAAATTAGTTCTTTTAGTACAAGCGATTAGGGTAGGGGGTTTTAGAAACTTATTCAATGGGTGTCGGGGGATTGTGGCTGCATGCGTCCTCAATTGCAAAAGGAATAATTGGCAATTTATCCCTAGTTTCAAATAGACAACAGACTGTGGGGTCAATTCGTGAATAAGGCTAACTAGTTAATGTCGTTTTTGTCCTGCTACATTACCGATTTCAGGGCGAGTTAGCATGGGTATTATTGGATTCTCACTCTTTATTTTTTTCATGAGAGAAACACAACTTCAGTTTCTAAGTTCTCACGTGTGGTTCCAAAAACAAAATATTTCACAAGGTGCTTGAATAGTTTGCGCCAAAAACATAGACTCTGCTCGAGCAAAGCGCGCCCTTTGTCTTCTTCCTCTCCGTCGATTGCCATGGACTCTCTCCACCACCAAAGATTTTGGTTTCATGAGATTTTGGTTTTCAGACCAGGGTTATAGACAGAGAGGTCTTAGAGAAGGGTAGAATTCAATATTTCAGCAAACAACAATGAGATTCTTAATTTGCCATGACAAGTAGTACAAGTAAAACTGAGATTCTTTCTTTCTCAGCACTGGAAAGCAAGAAGTGATCATCAGTACACCAGTCTGCATTATGAAGCAGAAACTCCGAAAATAGGAACACTAATTGATGACACCAAAAGCAATTTCCTGAACCGTCATTCCTAATCAAACGGACCTTATTGCTAATTCAACCTAAACTAATCTCATTGATTTAGTACACCCTTTCATGCTGCGATCCCATATCTACCTACGATTCCTCTTTATTCTTTCGTGATTACCTGCAAACTTCTCTTGAAGTGATGAAAAAGCAAAGGCGTCCAGATTCGGCATTCCGGAACGCCAAGAATGCGAGAGAATGTTGGCCCCTTCCCACGACACGACGTTCAAGGAAAAATCTCAATTGTTCACCATTAAGGTTATACAAACCACGTCCGCAGCGTTTGAACAGCATAGGGTACTCGTCACCATCAATATCATACACTGTGACCTCCTGGTTCTGGATGCCCCGTTTACGAAATTCATCAGCCTCCAACAATGGCAAGATGTGGCTTTCCACGTCTTTTTTGCACATGTACAGCGTAGTTCGTGTCACATCACTATCTGCCAACTGCTTCTCAAAACGCTTGCTGCACCTTGTGATCTTGTTTTGGAGGCTTGGGGGGACGTCAGGAGGAGCATGGCCTCCTTGTTCTACTTGTTGCGGTTGTTGAGGCAGAGGCATGTCCGGTGCTGCCATGCCATGACTGCATGTTCTTGGGCTGCAGGTTCGTGAAACTGAGGTGAGACTTGGAGGCTCCAAATTTGTTCAAGTTCTTGTTGTTGTTCAGGCATGCCCTGTGCTGCAATGACTTCTTGGGCATGTTGGGTTCCACGTTCTTGTAATTGAGCAAATTCTTGGGGATAAGAAGGGATATACTTGTTAATTCCAGAGGAGGAGCCTTGTACTAGTTGTGCTGGTGCAGCAACTTCAGTTTCTTGAAACTGACCAAACTCTTGGAGGCCTTGGACTGATTGCGGATAATAAGAAGGGTTAATTCCAGAGGAAGAGCCTTGTTCTAGTCGTTTTGGTGCAGCAACTTCAGTTTCTTGAAACTGACCAAACTCTTGAAGGCCTTGGACTGATTGTTGATAACAAGGGTTAATTCCAGAGGAAGAGCCCTGCTCTAGTTGTTGTTCTGGTGCAGCAACTTGCTGTGGTTCAATTTCTTGAAACGGTGCTGCAAAATCTTCATTTTCTTGCTGTGGTTCCATTTCTTGAAAAAGTGCTGCAAAATCTTCATATTCTGGCGCAGCAACTTGCTGTGGTTGTTCTTGTTGAGCAATGGCTTCAACTTCAGTTTCTTGAAAAACTGATCTGAGATATTCTCGCATTTGTTGATTTGAAAGAATTTCTTCTTGCCTTTGCAATTCTCTTTCCGCATCTTCTGCATGCTCTACATTGGGAACAGCTGCTGGAACTTCATTTGGGGGGTCTTCATTATGATCATCAGCCATGCCTGATAGACGGATAGTGTTGTTTTCTTTCACAATGGTGCTTCTGATCGCAA